ACATACATACATACATACATACATACAGGGCCTAAAACGAACTTTTTGCCATACATACATATATTTATTTATTTTTTCTCCAAGTTGCTTCTTTTAATTTGAGAACACTGCAAAAGATCGAGCACATGGTCAAAGACGCCCGTTTAGCAAAAAAGCAGCAAATGAATGACCCCTTAGAGCCGGCTCACACACAATGAGTTTTTTTTTTTGTTTAAAATGGCAGATGCATGGCAGTGAAATGGAAAAAATTCCCTGTGTCTCACTTTTTTGCATTTAAAAGACAAGATGTAAACACACACACACACACACACACACTTAAGGTCTACAGATAATATTTTTAATTTGAAGTTGTTTCTTTTAATTAGAGAACTGCATTTTTGGAAAGCTGCAAAAGACGTGAAAAGTGAGTGCAATGGTCAAAGAAATGCTTTTAGTGAAAAAGCAGCACAGTGGAATGCAAAAAAAACACACTCTGTGTGAACAACCTCTTAGAACCGGCTCACACACAATGAGTTTTTGCGTTTAAAACTGCAAGAGGGAAAAAAAAAAAGCAAGGTCTAGAGATGTGTTTCTTAAAATCTGAACTTGTGTTAACTTCAGCTGCATGTTTTTAGAAGGACTTGACATGCGAGACGCTGCAAAAAAACACAAGGGCAACCGTCAAAGGCATCCATCTAGTGCATGTTTACACAGAAAAACAACAGAAAAGCAGTACAATGGAATGCAAAAACACATTCTGTGTGAACGGCCTCTAATCCATGATTTTCTGTCTGTGCACTAGAATGTGATTTTACACTGTATTTTTTACATGCTTGATTCCAATCCAAATCAACCGCATCAACTATACCATACACAGTGAATGATCCTCAAACGCTCTCAAAAACAAACCGAGCTTAATATATGACACTTTGACTTCAATTCTGACTTGAAATTTTGACTTAAGTTCAGCGCAACTTTGCTGTGAAAATGAAAATGAAATATATCGCGAATAGCAAATTTGCAGGTCAGAAATAACATGAGTCAAAGATGTAAAACACGACAACTACACACAAACTAAGCCTTTATTCCAGAAACAGCTTGCCAATGAAGATCAGAGAGGCCAAAGCAAGCCAGATGGCTGTAAATTTGTCTTGAAACAAACATAAATGCTGTTACAGTAAATGATACATCATGCACTTCTCCATTTCCCAGTTCCTCACAAAGAAGTTAGTCTGAACCGCTTGAGCAGAGCAGAAATTATATGATGATTATTTTTTATTATAATCAAAACTAATAACTGCAGACCGTTTCAGCTCTCTGACTGGCAGATTATGTTCCTGTTTGGAGGACATCTAAAATAATGGATGAGTCAGCACTGGATGAAAACGCACCACAACCATGTGACCTTGTTCAGAGGGAAGCAAACCTTTCACTGCAATGTGCTACTACTGAGCAGGTGAAGATCTCATTTTGAGTCCTGGGGGAGTGTGTGTTCATGACAGTCATCCTGTCATGTGACAGTCATCATGTCAGAGCTGTCCTCCGTAATTACTACAGAATGTCCTCTAATTAGTCATGGAAATTAAGAGATGGCAGCACGTCCAAAGCAGTTCGAAGGCTTATTCAGGGCCTTGGGATGCGGCTTTCTCTGTTAGAAGCCAAAATTTAAAAGATTTCCCAAATCAAACCAGTTCAGCCACATCTTCTCAAACAAGGTTATTTCTCACATTTCTGCATACAGCAGATACGGAACACAAATTAAGATATTTTTGCTGGAATGTGAGAGCTCTCAGACCCTGCATAGACAGCAATGCAACTGACACGTTCCCAGGTCCAGAAACGTGTAAGGACAGCAGTAAAACAGTCCATGTGACATCAGTGGCTCTACTTCAGTTTTGCAAAGCTACGAGAATACTTTTTGAGCACAAAGAAAACAAATATAACAATTTATTCAACAATTCTTCTCCCCCGAGTTACGTCTTCCGCCATTTTAGAGAGTATCACAACACATACACACGCTTTCCCCTAAGCATAAACAACGCTGATTACTAGGGGTGCTCCGATCAGGATTTTTGATGCTGATCACCAATCGCCGATCACAGAAAGCAGTATCTGCCGATACCGATCTTTTTAAAGCCTTCTTCTTATCATTTATAACTATTTATAGTGATACACCAATCAGGATTTTTAGACATTTATTCAGGGCCTGAATTTCATTTT